GAAACAAATGTGGCATAAATTTATCCAATTATCTTCTTTATCATGTCAAGTTGAACTTTTGTCTCTCTAGCTCTGCGTATGGAAGACCCCACCATAACCTTTCTTTGAATTTCTGTCTTTTGTGTGGGGGTTCGTAACGAAAATATTTTTCATTCTTATTTTTACATTAATGGGAAACAAATGGGCATAAATTTATCCAATTATCTTCTTTGTCATGTCAAGTTGAACTTTTGTCTCTCTAGCTCTGCGTATGGAAACCCCACCATAACCTTTCTTTGGAAACTTTAAAAAATTGAAATTAGATATAAAATGTGTTTGGGAGAAATTTTTATGTGAACATGCACTTTTGAATAGTAAATTAATGAGAAATGTGTGGTTGAAAAATAAGAATTTTTTTTTATTTACGTGTAATATTATTTTAATAAAGAATTTATGGTTGAAAAGAAGAGAGAAAAATGCATTTTAAAAAAATGGGTATCAAACAGGACCATAAGCTCACTTAATAAATTGTTGTAGGAGGAAACGATCAATATGATTTTTTTTCCTTCTGTTTTTTTGTTTTTTGTTACTTATTTAATTTTTGTTTATTTAGAGAATAAGACATGATCATCTTTTCACAAAATAAAACTGATTTTTAATTAAATACGAAGGTAAAACTGTCCATTGAGGACACAAGTACCACTAAATTTGAAATATTGAGGATTTTAATGCTTCATATTGAAGATTGGAGCCAAGATGCAACACAAGTCAAAGTTTAGGGACCTCTACTTTTATTTTACTGAATGAAAATACAAATTAACAAAAGTGATTGACAGCTTCAAATAATTAAAGAAGGGCCCACTACCCACCGTCCTTAAATCTCCGTCTCTAGCGCCGTTATCTCTCTTGGCTTTGTGTTATCAACATCGCCTTATCGCCGTCACATCCGTTTGTCCCCCTCTTAATTTTTCTAATTTTAAAAAGTTTATTTGTGGGATAATATTGAGCAAAAAGAACCCAATAAAGGGCTATGCATACGCCACATAGGATTATGCTTTTCCGTCCCACGTGGCTTGTGATGTAAGCCGTTGGCCACATATATTCGATCTGCTCATCATGGAGACTATTTATATTTTAGGCAAAATTATAGTTTGGGTCCCCAATGTATTATAAATGCATCAAGTCCGTCCTCAATCTATGAGTACCTATCGAGCACCAGTCGACAATTTTACCTTTATCTTTGTTTTAAAATTCAATTTCTTAGTGAAAGGATGATATTACCCTTTTATCTCTAACTAACTGAAAACGAAAAAAAAAAAAACAAAATTCATTGACAATTGGACAATTGCAAGAGCTGAAGAATGTTAAAAGATGAATGGTTGGGAGGATTGAAGTTGCCAAGATCTCATTTGTAATTTTTTCTATATTTATTATTTGTAAATGTTTAGTGACTAAAATACCCTTGTAGTTTTTTAATTTGTGATTTCTATCTTGAAGGAGGTGGGAGAGGTCTTTGCCAACTTATTGGAAGACGAACATATATTATAAGAAAAAAAAAAGTAATGGAATTAAATCTATATTCACATGTTTCAACGTTGTAACTATTCTAGTTGTTATTCATTTGTCCCGTGGGGATATTCTCGCCTTTACTCATATAAACAATCAAAATCTAATTCAATAAATATATGAAACGATAAATAACAGTAAAATATAGTGCATGCTTGATATTGATTTTCTTCTCAGAAAATTAATTTTTTAATTTTCACTATTACAGTCGTCATTTTTTATTTCTTCTCTTATAAGTAGGACCCGTTTTTCTCTCTAATGATCAAATTTTTTTTTTTTTCAAAATCATTATCGAACGGGCTTATAATTATTATTCAATCAGTACACAAAATTTGTGATAAGTGGATGAGTGTGTTTTTTTCTTTAAAAGAAAAATGGGTTTAGCTCTAAAGTTGACGCTAAGTTACAGTTGAACCAGATATACTATTGGTTAGGCATGAATTTTTGGGTTTATGACATTTATACACTGCTCCTCACAATTCGGATTTTCTTGGCTTGGCTTTGGAAAGCACACCATAAAAATGGGAAATAAAATTTCAAACAAATCTTTCCCACAAATTAATTACATCAAAATCAAAAAATTAGAGTAATACCAAAAAATAAATAAATAAATAAATAAAAAAATCCCGAACTTTAAAAGAAAATTCCCTCCCTCAATGACCCGACGTTTTTCTCGAGGGTTGAAATGAATTTTAACCACAGGCACAATCTGTCGCCACGTGGCGGTATCCCATATCCGCAAAAGAATAGGTCCTCAGGCAGTTTCTTTCCGCAACCTTGTATAACCAGTCACTAGTTGGCTTCTACCGATTGGTCCGGTTTCAGCGATCTATGGTATAAGTGTTGGGGTTTAAGCGATGTGGGTGGTTTTCACAGGGTTTTGGCCAGTTTTTAGATAAGAGAAAAAAGCAATAATTAAGAGAGATATAAATGGGTTAGAGATTTTCCTGTAGTGAAAATGGAATTTCCAGATTCTATATTGAAAATTGTTTTCTGAAAATTTATCTGATCTGTGGGTCCAAATCAAGGCGAATTCTACATGAACTTGTTTTCTGTGCAAATTCTGTGGATTTTGGATGAAATATTGAAATGGAACATAAATCCCTTCCTCAAAGGTGAGATGATCAAAATTTTGCCTAGCAAAGTATGATATTTGGTTGTGTCCTTTCTTTTTTTTTTGGGTGGAGGGAATAGTTATCTTCTTTAAGGATATTCTACAACCAAACAGGTTATTTTCCTTTTTCACTTACTTTTTTTGGTTATTTTAGTTTCATGTGATTTATAATTGCATACCCTTTTATCCACTTTGTATTTTATGGTCGATCTGGAATTTTGACATGCAAAGTTCCCTTTTTTTTTTTTTCCAGAAAAAAGTTTTGAGTCCAAATCGTTAGTTCTTTAAAGTCCGAAAGATGATCAAGATCCATTCATTTAAGTCGTTTCCTTATAGTTACAAATTTTCGAATTTTTCCAGATGGTTCTGTGTCCCCTTAATTTTCAGATCATCTTCATGCATATGTTTTAATGTTATTTTTTAAAAATCTATGGATGCATTTGTATAGAGCTTTGGGATCCATTCCATCAGGGTTTAATGAGGGGTTTTATAACTTTTTTTTTCCCTCCTTAAGTCATTCTTTTGCTTTTGCTTTTGCTTTAATGGAAAGGGTTAACTTTTTAGAATTGTTTGAAATAAATCCACATTTGACTTTTTGATTAATTTCGTGTTTATGTGCCGTCATCTTTGAAAAGTGAAGTTTTTATTATTTTCTTCCACGTAGATGTATTGACTATATTTTGATCACCGATCCCTTTGATCCAATATAACTTTGGTCATCTACATAGTAAACATATATCATGGATGCATGATTGGGAAAATTGGATAGAATTTTTGTTGCTGAAATATTAGAATATTAGCATGTGATCTTGGATCTCATGGCAATTTGTGATCTGAGAAGTATCCATGGAAATTCTTATAGGATGCAGTGATTCGGTTTTTATGGTTACATTGTCCATTTAAGACATTTTGGTTTCCTTTCATGAATTCGGGATGATTTTACAAACGAAGCTATCACTTGGCATGAACCTGGAATTTCATGCTTATTAACGATGGATCATTTATTGAGTAAATGCTGGAGTTATCTTGATATTGGCGTATGTCATGACTGTGGATTCTTGATTGCCATGAGTTTCGTTTATGATCCCATATAATTGTTATATTTATGCCAGATTCTGTTTACTGCATATATTTCTCTTTGAAATTAGTTGCATCACCAGATCTTTGCATGTTGTCCAGTATGTTCGACTATACGACAAAACTAATCATAACGGTTTTAACACGTGGCAATCGTTATGTTACTCTGTTTTTACCATTTTGCCACGTTGGATATAATTAACTTAAATAACCCTAAACTTCATACTGTTACCGACATTGCTTATTTTTTTTTTCACCTGCAAGATTGGCTGTACTGCCTTCTGCCATAGTTGACTTGCGGACGAGCCTTGATATTGAATTTTAGCCAGTAAACTAGATTAAAGAATGTCAAAGATTCCTGCTTTATGAATTTTTTTGGTATGGTTTCTGAAATATGGTGTTGCTGAAGAGTTTAGACTATGGATTTAATGGCTATCGGGTGCCTCCCACTCCACGTGCTGCCAGATCGGCAAGGGTAATCCTAGACCTAATGGAACGCCATTATTTTTTTTTTTTCCTTTTCTGACATGTGGTTCTGAAGAACTAACACTATTTATACTCGTTTCATTGTCATTTGGTTTAGAGGAGGTGTGAATTTAGGAGGAATGATTATGTCCAGAAGATGTGCGCATTTGACTTATTGGCTACTGTTGCTGGCAAGTTACTGCTTGAGGGGGACTGTTCTTCAAAATCTGTGGATACATCTTCTGATAAGGAGCAACCAGAAGTTGTGGAAGGTTCTGATAAGAAAGGAGAATATGATGAAAATAAGCCTTTGGAAGAAAAATCTTGTGAACAAGATAGCTGTGAAAGAAACTTCTTATTTACGGAGATTGTATCACAAGCTTCTAATTCAAATTTCCATGCAAATGAATTTGGACACTGCCAGAATGATGCATGTTCAAGGCCTGCATCTGTAATAACTTCTGAGAGCTCAGAAAAGGTTCGTTCTGCAGAACCAATGCTCAATGATGATTGCAAGCTTCGACTTGGAATTTTTCCTCATCCAGTAGATGTTGAGTCTTCTGTTTGTAGATTAGAGGGTGAAACTAAGAAACAGATAAAGATTGAGTCCTCGAATAATCGGAATTTGGCAATAAATAATTGGGCTGATACATGCAGTGTGCGGGATTCAGAAGCTTGGAACAGAAAACCTTCAGCTTTGGTTAGTTCAGCTGATAGTCAAAAGTTTCCTGTTTGCAGCAAACAAATTCTTTGTGGTTCTTTCCCTATTAAGCAGGATGTTGTAAAGTTAGTTACTACAGATGATGACGAAAAGACTTCTGGGTGCACAAGACCGAGCACCGCGAATAAGGCCTTTAGGCCACCGCCACCACTCCTTGGAGATTGCAAAACTAGGAAGTTGTTGACATCTAAGTATTGGAAACCAACTCCAAATTCAAAGGATTACGATTCTCGTGAGTTATTGATTGTTTAGTTTGTGTGGTTATTGTTTGAGTTGATCTGGTCAAGCAATCTGTATGGCATAATCAATTGGTTTTTTCATGTCTTCAGATGCAGAAAGATACAATTACCTCAATATGAATAAAAGTTACAAGCGCCAGAGATCTCAAAGAGATTATCCTTTCAAAAAACGGAATTTTTTTTACTGCAGCTCAGTGTCTAATTCTGATGAAGGAATTGGCAGTGATGGAATATGTAGTGTGCCTGAGAATGGCTCCGCTGGCAGTGCATTAGGTTCTGGTCCATCTCTGCCCATAGGTAATTTTTCATCAGAAAGCACAAAACACTTGTACAATTGATATGCATATGACTTGAATTTTGCTCAGAGATGATTGATATCAACTTAGTTGATCTGACACCAAATGCAGTTTCAACGCCTCCAACTTCTTTACGTGGTGAACGTGCTTCTTTCCAGTCAAGAAATTCCCATGGTATGAGTGCAATTCATGGAGTAGTTCATTTTTACTTGTATGACTTGAAAAGTGTCTTGACATATAAAGAGTTTCTCATGTGGAGATATTTCTCCTTTTACCCAGTGAAGCTCAAGATCAAGTCTTTTAGGGTTCCAGAGCTATTTATTGAGGTTCCTGAATCTGCAACTGTTGGTTCTTTGAAGGTATTTGAATATCAACTCTGGCTGTTCTATAAGAAATTTAGCCTTTTAATTCTGGCTTTGTAGTTTGGAGGAAAATCATTGTGCAACTATTAAGTCACGATTCTCTGTGTTGATGATGTCGCATCTCATACTTTCTGTCAAACCCTGTTTTAAATATGAAAGTGATGCATTGGCCTGTGGGTTAAAATTTCAAAAGAAGATTCATCAGAACAATTCACTTTTAAGATCTAAGAAATTTAGTTGTGCAAATGAGGGGATTTGTCCAAAAGTCCATGAGATCAACTTCATGTACTGCCAAGACTTGCTTATTGCTCTTATACGTGAACTTAACATTCTGAATCTCTAACCACAGTCATTTCTGTTCATCACAATTAATACAGTTCATATTCACAAGATTTCAGTAATTTAAAACATTACCTACATTGCTGCAGAGGACAGTTATGGAAGCAATGACAGAAATACTTGGTGGTGGACTACGTGTTGGTGTACTTCTTCAGGGAAAGAAGATTAGAGACGATAAAAAAACTTTGTTGCAGACTGGGATTTCTCATGATAACAAAAAGTTGGATTCTCTGGGTTTTACCCTTGAGCCTTCTCGTACTCAACCTCCCTTGTGTCTAGAAGATCATAGTTTTGAACGACCTTGTGATACTCCACAACCACTAGCAAGGTATCCTCGTTGTCCAAAACCCATTTACATTCTTTGGCTGGTCATACTGCCTACCATAGTATATGAGGCTTCTTCTTGTCTGACAACCATTTCAACTACATATTTTCACAACTAATGCTTATGTTGTCCAATGGGTGATGAAGTCCTCCAGAAGTATCAAAATTGGCCACTTCAGTATCTTGTCTTGCTGATGATAGTTTACTATGCTTTGCCACCAGGTATCCTCCTATGCCCAATGTTGGTCAAATTGCTCATCCACAGGGTAATTTGGATACTCTGTCAAATCCTACAGGAACTAAAGTATACAATTTCATTGAAAGTGATCGTGATTCAGCTCCTTTCCCTCCCAGTATGTCTTTGGAGAAAACTACAACAGACTCAAAAGCATTGGTTTCTGTTCCCCCAATGAAAGCAGAGGAACTAGCTATAGTTCCCATGCGGAAATCCAAGCATTCTGAGTCAGCACAACGCCGAATCCGTAGACCGTTCACCGTTTCTGAAGTGGAAGCACTGGTTCAGGCAGTTGAGAAGCTTGGAACAGGAAGGTATGTTTGGTAAAGCCATACTGCGGAATTGTGCAAAAAGTGATGAGGAAATAATATGATTATTTTTTGAACTAACAAATTACTTTCTGAGAGTTTTGTGACAAAAGTTGTGCTTTAAGATTCGTGTCTCAATGCTATTATGCTAAAGTTATGTTCTTTGACAATTATGCTTTCTTTTCTTTTGTTACGGTCTCTTCACGTAACATACTTTTGTTCTGTAGATGGCGTGATGTTAAGCTGAGAGCTTTTGATAATGCAAAACATAGAACTTATGTGGATTTGAAGGTAAGAAAATGTTACTCTTGCATAAAATCATAACCTTCTCATTATTTAGAGGTCAAATATAGAGTTCTTGAAACTCAAGTCACTCATTCCACGTTTCTTCCATTAAATTTGGTGTCGTCTTCAATCAACCAATGGCTACTATTTGCTTACTGTTATATTTTCTTTAATTGTAACGCCACTCTTTTCCAGGATAAGTGGAAAACTTTGGTGCACACAGCGAGAATCTCCCCTCAGCAAAGACGAGGTGAGCCTGTGCCTCAGGAGCTCCTTGATAGAGTCTTGACAGCACATGCTTTCTGGTCCCAACAGCAAGCCAAGCAACAGCTCAAACCTCAACCCCAGACTTGCCTTCTTCTCTGAGTAATTCACTGTACAAAACTGGCAGCAGCATATTATTGTCAAAGGAACACTACGCGTTCTTAGAGCGCGATATCTGATTATTTTTTGTGACTATAATACTTGATTATGTAAAAATGTCTTTGTCAAAAAAGCATTATATGTAATAGTTATCGTTCTCGGGGTGATTTGTTTCCTGCGAGGAGGGATGGCATTTGTAAATTGTTGACAGAATAAAGTGTTATGATGGTAGAAATTTTTTAAAAATATAATGGTACAAGATTTTTGTTTCTTTATTTGAAGTTAGGAAAAATTCATTTGTTTGTAAAATTTGTAGCATGAACTCTGATTCATTTAATTCTGAAAGCCATCAATTTGTGTTTTAGCGTATTACGTGTATTTATTTGATTGGGACTAATTAAGAAATAATATTATTGTTCTATAAACAAGATTATAATGCAGTTGTCAGCTGACGAAATTGACATTTTACCCAATTATATATTAATGGATCAAAGATATGAATTGATTTTCATAATATTTTAATTAAAAAGCTCTTCTCTTTGATTGTCAGCTTAAAATTCGACTTTTAGCACTGAAAAGTTTATACATTATTATTATAATCCAGCGCATTTATTGTACTTTACTCAATTTCAATGAATTTAGACAAATATGGTCACAATCTACATGAAACTCCAAGAAAAAAGAGATAAAAAGGTTACGAGCTCCATAAAATATATCGTTAAAATTAGTTGTTGACTTTGATTTAAATAAAAATATGAATTTTAATTTCTATCAAACAGGGACTCGGTTTGGGATATGAATAAAGCCAAAAAAAAAAAGGGATTCAAAGA